GTGTATTAGGTCATGGACATCTTTAGGGGGCCATTATTCTGCCTTAGTGATCTGTACTGACCCTGGTATCATACATCATTTTAACATAAGGCGGAGTCTTCTTCTGGGTTCTGGATTCCACTGCTCCATTTTCTGTCTGTGTTCCAGGACTATACATACCACATTATCATAATTAATACAGCTTTATAATGAATCTTTGTAGGTGATAGGCATAGTCCTCTACTTGTTCTCCTTTTGAATGTTTTGACTATTCTTGGACTTTGATGTTTTCATAAAATTTTACAACCAATTGATAAGTTGATCCAAATCATTTTGTGATTGTAATTAGAACTGTGTTGAGCCTATAGACGTAATTGAAAATACTAGAAATTGAGACTTCCTGTCCATGAACATGATCTGTCTCTCAATCTATGTGTATCCATTTGACAGCTTCATTAATGTGTTTTATATTTTTTCTGTAAAGGTTTTGATTGTGCATAATTCAATTTATTCTTAGGAAATATTACTTATTTTTTACTGATGCCATAAATGGTATCTGTCTTTTTTAAAAAAATTACTAATTATATGTTGCTGGTGTACAAAAATACAATTGATTTTTTATATTGATTTTGTATAAAACACCTTGCTAAGCTTTTTTACTGATTCTGATGATTTTTCTGAAATTACTTTAAGCTTTATATACATATATATAAATTTTATAAAACGAGTGACATTTTGTTTCTTACTTTGTGACAGTTATGACATTTATTCAGTGGCTTGAATCTTCATTGTTGAAGAGAACAATAATATGCATCTTTATCTTTTTTTTATTATTTTACTATCAAATATACTATTCTTACAGGTTTTTTTTAGAAAGCGACTAAAATGAAGGAAGTTTCATTTTAGTGAAGTTTCCTTCATTTTTCAGATGATATGAGCTTTACAAAGATTGAATTTCATAAAATTACTTTTCTGTTTAAATAAAATGTTAGCCTTTTTTTACCTGTCCATATAAAATGTTAACCATTTTTTTCTCCATTGTTATAAATTAAGGGTTATAACTTAAGGGTTATAAATCTTAAACTACCTGTGTTATCTGTGGCAAACACAACTCAATCATCATGTATTTTTTATATATACAGCAGGCTGCTATTTTGTTAAGTGGGTTTATTTCATGAGTGGATTTGCTCTATAAATTCTCTTTATGATTTGGTTTTATATCAAGGTAATATTAGCCTGAGTTGAGGAATATTTCTCCATTTCCTTCTCTGGATAGTCTGCTATTAGCTCACAACCAGAGGAATTTCCTGGGTGATTTTCAAAACTGGCTCCCATACACGGGAGGGCAAGGAACAGACAGAAGAAAGAGGCAGGCCACTCCAGATTGGCAGGTGGAAGGTTTAATAAGCAAGGGCACCTCTATATGAGGTTTATCTTGGGAGGCTGCAAAATGAGTAGCACTTAGCACCTGCCCACCACAGTCTTAAGAGTTTATGCAGAGGCCTTAATATGGTTCAGTCATGTTTACAGTCCAGATGGTCTAAAGGCTGTGTCCTTAAAGTGGCTCCTATTGTGAGAACAGTGGGTGGAACATAAATTCCAAGGATAAGGGAGGGGGTAAAGAGCCTCCAGCTGCCAAAGTCCAGGTCGTGGGTCAACTGTCATATCTACTCAACAACTCCTCCAACATCTACATAGATTAGAATGATGTATTTCCTAAAAGCCTAGTGATATACTATGTACAAGTGCCTGCAATTAGTATTTCTTTGTAAGACATTTAGTTATGATACGATTCTTAAAATATTTCTCTTTTCAACCTTCTAATTTTGCCTCCATTTTTAATTGAAGTACTGTTTATAGACTGTGAAATGCACAGATTTCAGTGTACAACTAGGTAAGTTTTGACAAAAATATATCTATACTTTCAACAAAATGTGGAACAGTTCCATCACCCCAGATGTTTCCTTCATGCCACTTCCCGCCAGTCCAATCCTGGCCTTCTGTCTTCCACAGGCAACCAATTTTAAGAATTCTAATACCATATATTATTTTGGTTTCTAGAATTTTGTATTACTGGAACGTAACATGATACACTTTTTTTGCATCTGGCCTCTTTCAGTCAACATAATTGTGAGATATATCCATATCATTGTGTTAATCAGTGAATTATTTCCTTCTTTTTATGTATAAGCTTGTTGATCTTTTCTCCTTGGATAGGCATTGGATTATTTATAGTTTAATGGTGACTGTGAGTAAAATGTCATGAACACTCTTGCACAAGTTGTTTTGTTAACATATTCTTCTATTTCCCTTGGTTAAATACCTAAGTAGAATTGCTGGGTCGTAGCAGAACTCTATGTATAACTTTATAAATAATTGTCACTCTTTCTAAAGGTAGCTGTATCATTTTAAACTGCCAACAGTAATTGTCCAGTAGTTCTACATCCTCATCCTCATCCTCATCAATATTTGGTCTTCTTTGTTTTTGTTTTTATTTTAGTAATTCCGATATATGTGTTTAATAATTGACTTGATGGAACTTTTTATAGATTTTAGGTACTAATCATTTTTAAAGCTTATTTATTCATTTTTGAGAGAGAGAGCGAGAGAGCAGAGTTGGGGCAGAGAGAGAGAAAGAGAGAGAGAGAGAATCACAAGGAGCCTGATGCAGAGTTCAATCTCATGAACCATGAGATCTTGACCTGAGCCAAAATCAAGAGTCTGATGCTAATTGACTGAACCATGTAGGCAACCCACTTATACTAACTTTATTAAAGTTTGTATTTTAGGGGCAGCTGGGTGGCTCAGTCAGTTAAGCGGCCAACTTTGGCTCAGGTCATGATCTCGAGGTCTGTGGGTTTGAGCCCCGCATCAGGCTCTGTGCTGACAGCTCAGAGCCTGGAGCCTGCTTCAGATTCTGTGTCTCCCTCTCTCTCTGCCTCTCCCCTGCTCAAGCTCTGTCTCTCTATGTCTCAAAAGTAAATAAACGTTAAAAAAATAAATAAAGTTTGTATTTTAATTCCAGTTAGTTAACATACAGTGTTATATTTAGAAACTAATCATTTTTCAGATGCACAGGGAGTATCATCTCCCAGTCTGTGGCTTGTCTGTTCAGTTTCTTAGTGGTTTTTGGATCAGCAAAAGCTTTCGTGAGTGCTGTTTGCTTCTTATTAAGTAACTTTTTCCAGTTTAACTTTGCAATGGCATTCTTGAATGCTTTCTAACTAGAATTTTTATAGTTTTAGATTTTATGTTGAGATCTATGATATATCTCAAAATAAAATTTGCCTTAGAGTGAGGTAGGACAGAAAAGGCAGAAAAGGTTTCTTTGTGTTTGGTTTGTTTTGGTGTTTTTTTTTCTTTTCTTTGCATATGAATATCCAATTATTCTAGCTCCATTTGCTAAAAGGATTTGCTTTTCAAATATTATTGCTTGGGCACTTTTGTTGGAAATCAATTTACCTTCTAAGTGTAGTCTTTCCGAACTTCATACTGTTCCATTTACCTACTTCCCTATGAGTACAACAATGTACATTTTAGTACAATAGTAAATAAATGTGGTGAAAGCAGACATCCTTGAATTTATCCTGGACTTAGGAGAAAAGCATTTAGTCTTTCACCATTCAGTATGGTGTGGCTTATGACAGGATTATAGATTTTAAAATAAATGGAGAAAAACTCTCATTTAGATAGCAGTTACTTAACTTTATTTGTCTTTGCTTTTCATTTACCCAACACAATTTTTGGTGGATTCTCCAGTTTTTGGTGCATTCTAAGCCCTTTCTATTTTTTATTATATTTTTAAATTTATTTTATTGCTTATTTATTTTTGAGAGAGAGCGAGAGAGAGAGAATGGGGAGGGGCAGAGAGAGAGAGGGAAACATATCATCTGAAACAGGCTCCAGGCTCTGAGATGTCAGCATAGAGCCAGATACAGGGCTTGAATCCATGGACCTGACTTCGCGATCATGACCTGAGCTGAATAAAGTCAGACACTTAACCGATTGAGCCACCCAGATGCCCTTTCTATTTTTCAAATCAATCAGTGAATGATTATCCAAGTCATTTGGTATATGTTAGTAACTGACAAAATATTCCAATAACTGCTTTTATTTCACCTGTTTTTAACTATATTTCAGGAAGAATAACAAACTCAGTAGATCCCCTAGAATTTCCCGTTTAGAGAAACTATTTTGTATATATGCACGATCAGTAGTGTTTTAAACTTTTCTGTAAACGTGATCACATCTTTCATTTGCTGATCCTAAGAACAAGTCTTTATTTAACATACAGAATGTAAGATTGAAGAATAGTTGAATCACTTCATTCATAATCATGACTTTCGGAATAGAATGTTATGGGCACAGACAATGCTTAACAAAAATGAATATTAAATTTTATTTTAAAAATCTATTTAAAATGGGGTGCCTGGGTGGCTCAGTCAATTAAGCAACTGACTCTTGATTTGTGATCTCACAATCACACTTGTGAGATCGAGCTCCTTGTCGGGCTTCACACTAGCAAGTGAGTATGGAGCCTCCTTGGGATTCCCTCTTGCCTTTTCTCTTTGTCCCTACCCTGTTCTTGCGATCTCAACTTCTCAAAATAAATAAATAAACATTAAAAAATAAAAATCTATTTAAAATACTAACCTTTGCAGTTTTGAAGGTGCATAATCTAACATAATTGTTTGTTTTTGTTTCAATAATCTGCTTGGAGAGAAAAAGCTTTTAAAAATTTTGTAACCATAGTGCTTCTCCCTAATCTCTTTTTTGTAAGTATATGACATGGTCAATATATTATTGATTTTAGCAATCCTTTAGAAAGAGGCATCCTTTTTAAAAATCATCCTAGATTAGAAGATCTGAAATAGTTTCATGTGTGTGTATTCTGTGTGTGAATGGCATAACTCTCTTCTGCATGGTAAAGCCTGAAAAACTCATAACACATTATTTATTTTTGGTGCAAATTATTACTTTTTTCTACTTTAAAACAGAATTCTATTGATTTTGTTTCGTAGTTCAATTTTGTGGGGAAATTGCTTGGACCAAGAGGAAACTCCTTGAAGAGACTACAAGAAGAAACAGGTGCTAAAATGTCTATCCTGGGCAAAGGATCAATGAGAGATAAAGCAAAGGTACTGAACTTGGAATTTGATACTTAGAACATGCAGAAGGCTCCCTGTAACACTGATGGCCAAACTCACAAGCACATCTGCACTCTTCTCCCATCATTTCCTGTGATTTTCACCTTCTGGGACTACCCTATTGCACTCTCTGTCGATTCTTCTATTTTCATAAAAATCAATTACCCACCTTATTCCCACCCCCCGCCCCAGAACATCTAATTCTGTACTTTTATTCTCTTTAGTCCTTTGTGTAAGATGTTGTCAAATCTTTTCACTTTTTCTGTGTCCTCTGTAGAAAGTTCTATATGCCCATGCTCATTTTCTTTAATTCCCTGTCTGGATCCCCTTTCTGTCTCCAACTATGTCATCTGATCACATCCATTGTATCATTCTCTCTTTTTATCTCTCTGCTCCATTTCACTTTGGCCTTCTTACCTAAAGCAATTTCAAATACTCATCTTCAAATCTAAGAGAATTCCATTTACTTTCTTAAATGTTTCAATTCACCTGACATCAAAAGAACAAATAAGCTAAGAAATATATGAACTTTGATATTTGAAATGATTCATTTCACATCTGAACTACATCATTGTCCCATTTTATAAAGTGAAAGCAATTTTCAGGGTGTTAGAATTCACTGTTTTGGAAAAATAACAACTATTTATAGAGATTTATACATAAATGATCTTTAACGATTCATCAAGAAAGGGATGATGTGTGAGGGTAGCATTATTTGATCAGGCCGTGCTCTTCTGATTCAGTATGTACCATGGAAAATATAATATTCAAACATTTTTTTCTGACTGTGGGAATTACTTAGAAAATTGTTTAGGAGCTCTCTCTTGTAACTATTAATGTGAAATCTTGAAGAAATTTATAGTGGGAAATGTCAGTGAACAGATAGCTCACAATCTTACAGTGTAAACTTCATATTATGTGCTTTTTATACTCTGCAGACTTTCTTAAGATTTAGATCAGGCATCATCTCCCTAACAGGGCTTTCTTGAACTCCTGTGATCAGCTAAATCCTCTCATCACAACATATTTTATTGAAATGTTTGGTTTCTCTCATTAAACTGTACACTCCCACCAGCCAGAGAAATGTCCCTGTCAGCTTTGCATACTCAGAGTATCTGTGTAGTCCCTCCCTCCATAGCTTTCAAAGTAAATGAGTGCTTGTTGTTTACTCCCATATATTTGTAAATTTTTTTCTGTTCACAAAGTTTTACTCTGGATTCCTTTTTCCTGTGAGCATGGTAGGTACAAGAATAAGTATTTGAAAATCTAGGAGGAAACAAATTTGGTTCTATTAAGTTTCCATTAGGTTTAATTTGCTGATATTAGCTGTTGCTTAAAATCCAGGTTCTCATTGATTGTTTTTGGGTGATCTATCATGTTTGTCTGTGCTTCAGTTATTTTCATTGCTGGGTTTTTTTTTTTTTCACAAAATGAAAGAAAATCAGCACATTTAAGAACAACAATAGGGGTACCTGGGTTGTTTAGTCAGTTAAACCTCCGATCTCAGCTCAGGTCATGATCTCACTGTTCATGGATTCGAGCCCTACATAGGGCTCTGTGCTAACAGCTCAGAGCCTGGAACCTGATTTGGATTCTGTGTCTCCCCATCTCTGCCTCTCTCTTGCTCGTGGTCTGTCTCTCTTAAAAATGATAAAACATAAAAAATTTAAAAAACATTTAAAAAAGAACAACAATAATAATGTATTGCACTGTCAACTACATTTTTTAGAATCTAGATAAGAGCTTAAGTGCCAAGGGTGGTGGGCGCAAAACTGGAATAAAACCACAGACATGGGTATGTAAAAGTTCACGTTAGTAAACACTTGATTAAAATAAAAAATAAATCCTTGGTAAAACATTGATTTCTGTGCCATTATTTTACCTCTTCCCAACATGACATGACCAGGAAGGAAGATTTTATATGTGATTTTATTCTTTTAACAAGAAATAAAACTCGTCTGAATCTTCCGTGGAATTATCTCTGTGTCTGTGTATTTATACAGCCACACAGGAATATATTCATACATCAATTGCAGAAGTATTTGTTGCTATGTGCCACACTATGCATCATCCATAGTTCTAGGTCATAGTAATGAGTATGACAAAAATACTTCTCCTAGAGTTTACATTCCAATGGGAGAGACAGACAATACATAAATGAATAAGCACAGTTTAATAATTATTATGGATTAAAATAAGACAGAATGTTTTCCTGTGTTGGCTCTGCTATCAAGATGTTACACAATGTATGTCTTAAACTTGATCTTTGCTTCTTGACAAAAAGGAGATATTTGGATAGTTGTCTAAGTCAGGACAAAATAACTGTGTAAAAGTCTTGCACATCTGCTATGTGCTCATCTGTAGATTAAATATCATACTCTATAGAAAATAAGTATTAGACATGAGTCAAGCCCTCACAAAACTTTTATTTAGTTAAACATCCTGATCTCTTTAACACTTTCTTTTAAAAAAGTTGAGGAGTCATCAATCATTGAATTAGTAGGTGGAAAGAGTGACATACTCATTTAATTTTATTTTTGTAATTCTAATAAGACTTTTTCATCCTTAGAAAAACACGATGGTTTAAGATTTATTATAAGATCATTATAAAATTGCGTAATACAGAAATCAGTTCTCATGGTTTAGTGTAGTAAGAAGATTCTACCAAGTTTAATGATTTTATTTGTGTTATTTTGGTTTTGATGGATATGGGGGAAATATTCCTTTTAGTTTCATACCTAGCCAATAATTCTGTAAGCAAAGAAAGAAAACAAAAACCAAAACAAAATGAAATGTGGTAATATCCAAGGTAATACCAGTGGCAAAATCTTACCATATATTCAATATTTTACTCCCATAGTAGTCAGGTCACTGAATATATGAACTCACATTTTACCTAAAACTATCCAGGAATGCTTGAACAGAAGCTGACTTCTAAATTGTGATGATAAAGGTATTCTTAGAGAAAATTAGGAAGTAATATACACAGCATGTTTGCAATATTTCAAAATATCTCAGGAAACTAACTGGCAGTTCAGAAATTTCTTTTAAGTCTACATCCCTCATCCACCATATGGCCAGCCAGTTTGAAATAACCATGCAGCTGCTGGCTTCACTAGCGGTTGCTTCTGAGCAATCTTCAGAGGTAACTTACTGTAGCTTCAGATTGAGTGTTGCTATTTTTAGTGATGCTGATGGCAGAGATTGGTGAGGGAGAACAGAGGAAGCAGTGGTCTACAGGCTTATTTTTGAAGAGTGAGGAGCAAACATACTATCTTCAAGAAAAAAAGGTGTGAGAGGTTAGAGAAAATCAGACAAAAGCTCAACACACCCAGATAACAGTGAGGAAACAGCAGGAAAGCATCAAAGCAAATTTCTTGCATACTTCCATTGTCCTTAAATGGAAATCATAAATAGACATGTTGCAAATAAATGATGTTGTAATGACAGGTATTCTGGCATTTCCATTAATAAGCTCGGTTGAAATTATGAAATGTAGTCCTAGAGCATGCTAGTGATTATATGTTAAAGGCAAAGTGCCGTTTGGTGGAGTTTTATTTGAAATTGTGATAATTCTCTAGGCAAGCCTGTCTCTCTTTGATGTGCTAATATCATGTGGAGTTTCTATTTTATAATATATCTTCTGTATTTGATGATGGCTACTTTAGTAAATCCTTTCTGATTTCATGGCAATTTGATTTTCATCAACAATAAAATCAACTGAAAACCTTCAAAGTGATGCTGCTGCCTGGTGGGTGTGAACCCCGTACCAATCATCCTTCTCTCATTTGGCTTCTGGGCTATGCCTCACATCAAACAGCACGGTTAGTCTCTCAAATCCTGAAGGGGCGAGGCCGTGCTCACTGCCTGTCAGTCAGACTGGGATCAGTTATGTAGACTTCTGTTTCAACTTTTTAATATCCCCAACAACAAAGCAACTTGTAATACCATAAAATCAAGAGTCCAGACACCCTGATTTTAATTTTAGCTGTGCCCCTAATAAACTGCACCGAAGATCAGCAATACTTTTTTCTCAGCTCCCCTCTGCAGGAAAGAATGCCTAGCCCCATCATGACTTCCAAACACAGATAGAGGAATAGGCGTTATTCTTTGTTTAAACATCACTTGGGGTGCCTGGGTGGCTCAGTCAGTTAAATGTCTGACTTTGGCTCAGGTCATGATCTCAAGGTTCATGAGTTCAAGCCCCGCGTTAGACTGTGCTAACAGCTCAGAGCCTGGAATCTGCTTCCAATTCTGTGTCTTCCTCTCTCTCGGGCCCTCTCTCTCTTGAGCTCTCTCTCTCTCAAAAATAAAACATTAAAAATTAAAAAGAATCACTTGAGTTTGTAAAGGACAAAGAGTATATCAGAAATTACAGATAAGTGGGAATTTATTTTTTATTTATTCACTGCATTTGTCTGTTTCTTGGATCTGGATTTTGAGAAATTAGATAAACAGTTCCACCTGAGCAGTGGCACATGTGATAAGGAACACTGGATTGCAAACATCTATTTTGTGAGAACACAAGGAAACCTATTTCAATGGCGAACCAACACAAGGTTATTTCAGCCTATGATATATTAGGACTCAAAGTGACCAAACAATTAAAATAGTCAGATTTGAGTCGAAGAGTGAAATATATCATCATACTAGTGAGAAATAATTTTTACATTAATATCTTCAACCCTTTTAAAAAATATTTATTTTATTTACGTCCAAGTTAGTTAGCATGTAGTGCAACAGTGATTTCAAGAGTAGATTCCTTAATGCCCCTTACCCATTTAGCCCATCCCCCCTCCCACAACCCCTGAGTAACTATCTGTTTGTTCTCCATATTTAAGAGTCTCTTATGTTTTTGCATCTTCAACCCTTTTATGTATAAAGAGTTTGTAATTCATTATAGTGGGCTTTGACCTAAGAATAAAGAAACAAATGCTATAAATCTATCCAAGCTCAGGCCTTCATAAGCTTCATTGACAGAGCATGAGGTG